AGAGAGAGAGAGAGAGAGAGAGAGAGAGAGAGAGAGGGAGAGGGAGAGGGAGAAAGGGAAAGGGAGAGGGAGAGGGAGGGGGGCCCTATGGCTTACTGTTTGTCTCTCAAGCTTTATAGTACTAAAGATAGGCTTTAGTTGTGACATGGATATAAGAATACAGATAGGAAACTTAAATTTTGGAGGAATGGTAATGGAATGAATGTTCTTAACCTGAATCAGATAATCCTTATCAAGTGCCAATTTCTTTTCAACAAGATTTTTCTTGTAATGGCTATAGATTTATATGAAGTTAGGAAAATACAGTAATTGAAAGCATCTCCTAGGAAGTTAACAATTTGTCTTAAAAATGGAACATCCTTCTCAGTTCTAGATCCTTTGTTCATTCCCAACTACTGTACCTATGCCCTTAGGAACAGGAGGTAGATTGGGTAGGTGAGGTAGTTATATTTTAATTATTTTTCAGGTAGGGTCTTGAGGGTTTTGCCCTGTTTAGCTTCAGATATATCCTTCCCATAACCTTCTGCATAACTGAGGTCACAGACACATATAACCAAGCTCAGCTTATTGATTGAGATGATGATAAGGAGGAGGTCTTACTAACTTTTACCCCAGCTAATCTCAAACTAAGATCCTCCTGTGTCTCTAGGATTGAAGAATGAACCCAATACTGTTCTTAGGCTACAGAAGTTATTTTGGTAAGAGATTGGCATATTAAGGTAATCACAAAAACTAGGCATTTTATCGGTGATAGCTTTGCAGAGCTGCTGATTGATTAAGGTAATAGTCATTTATAGAATTCCTAAGGGAAAGAGTGATTTTAGAACCTTCAAAAATTTACTAATTTTAGGAACTTCAAAAATACTCACTTTAGAAATGATTCTCATAAATATTAGCCTAATGAGAAGATGTTCAGAAGAATTTTTTCTGCCGTTATTTTTAAATCAGAAGTTATAAAGAGAAATCACTTAATATCCTTAATATCCTCAACTTACATTTTATCTAGAGTTCTGCAGCTTCAGGGTAAGCGATAATAGTGGTACAATTGCCTAGTTATCTATAAATACTAGCCTGGCATGGATCTTGATACCAGTGATCCCAGATCCCAAGTACTTAGAAGGCAGAGATGCGGACTGCTATTCGAGAGCAGACCAGTTCCCCACCCAAAGTTATTAAAACCCAGGCCAAGTCTAGTGACACAGTCCTTTTATCCTAGCTATGTAAAAGGCAGAGGCAGGAGAATCCAGGTCCAATTTCATTCTTAGCAAAAGCAACAAGACCCTATATGGAATGTAACTAAAGCAAAACAGGCTAAAGGCATGGTTCATGAGAACGAATATTTGCTTAGCAAGTGGGAGACCCTGAGATCAAACCCAGTACCATCAAAATACCATAGAAAGTACAGGGAAATCCATGAAAAACAAAAGTGTGAAGTAGAGAGGTGTATTGAAATTGTTGAGCTAGCTGGCTCTCTGTGTTACCCTGGCAAACCACCATCATCTGTGGCTTCCACTAGGACAGCAGGTGTGAATGTGTTTTCTCTCACTGTTCTGTCAAAGCCCTTCAGTTACTTCTTACCTTACCAAGGCAAAAGTACAAGCTCCAACCTGACCGGGATGGCTGGTCCCTTGGCCTCTCTGACATCTCCTACTACTTCATTCCTTATTCTGTCTGCTCTTGTCACTCTGCCTTCCTTCCTGCTCCTCGTATCTGTGCAGCATTAGTCCAGCATCAAGGCCTGGCATTTTAATGTTCCTCTGCCTGAGCTTCTTGTTGCACCAAACTGTCACAACCCTTGCTCCTTGTCTTTGTCAGTGAGGCTATTCTGACCTCTCGATACAACACCTTTATCATCCTCAGCACTCCTACTCTCCTTCATTTTTCCTCAGGCACTTCTCACCCCTGGCATTACACATCAAGGACTGATGTGTCTCTTCTGTGCCTCGTGTTATCATGTTCTTCGGCATACAGAAAGTGTTCCGTAAATTGAGATAGATGTAGGATGTACTCTGTCCTAGGCACTATTCTAACACATTGACATTCTCAAAGCAGCTCAGTTGAGATGGCATTCACCTTCCCCTTTGAATGGAGGAAGACACTGAAGCACAGGTGAGGTAATTTGAGAAAAGTTCACACAGATAAGAAGTGGCTGGTTTAAGAGGAAATTGAGTAGGCAACTGAAAGACGTGAGAAGATAAAGTCCTAGGTCTTGTGTATTTCTGCAGGAAAAATACCTTTGATGTTGAGGAAAGATTAAATAGCATTCTCGTGGACATGTACTGTTTAGAAACAACTAAACAAACTCCTCTACTAGTTCTCCCTACAAGCCCCAAATGATTATAAGAAAATATATAT